CCCCGAGGTGGCGGCGTCTGGGCCGCTCAATGCCTTAACAGCTTAATGACAGCCTGGGACAGTGTCCCTGTCCCCCTGCCCGCCACGGAAACGAGGGGGCTGCAGCTCTGGGGCTGCTCAGAGCTCCCCGTGCCCCTGCACAAAGGGGGTCACCCCTCCTTGGGACATCAATGGGGTCCTGCCAAAGGGCGGGATGACAGCGGGGCAGGGATGGGAGATGTAAAAGTCAAACATCCCCCGGCCTCTTCTCGGGGACCCATCTGTCAGGCCTAGAGCTGTGGGTTTTAACTGTTTGCAGGTAAATACTTAAAGCCTTTCTATCTCGGAGGCTCCTCTCCGAGGCTGGACTTTTCCCTTCCTCTGGGTTTTATCAGCGATCTTGGTTCCCTGTTTGATTTGAAGGTCACTCGGGGCTTTATCTCGGTGCCATGGCAGACTCTGGCTTATGCCATTTTATCTTCAAGAGCCCCGAAGACAATCGGGGCATTGATGAGATTAGGGGAATCACCGCCCGGCCCCGAGCCCGCCCTGCATACAAAGGGCCCCAGGGTGGGGGGCACAGCATCCCTGGAGCCTGTCTGGGGGGCACAGCATCATCTCCAGCCTGTCCTGGGGGGCTGCACACCCATGGGGGTCAGGGTGTCATCCATCCATCCCTCCATCCATCCATCCATCCATCCATCCATCCATCCATCCATCCATCCATCCTTCCATCCCTGCTCTGCAAACATTAGAGTACCAGATCAATACCTGAGCAATCGCATTTATTTACACATATATGTGTATATAGATATATATTAAAATGAATATATATATGAATATATATATATATTCATATATATATGAATACATATATATAGATACATAAATTAAAATGCATTACTTATATATATATAATATATATAATATTAAAATGCATTACTTATATATATATAAATTTAGATATCTCTATATTTAAATGCATTACATATATATATATATATATACACACACACATTTAGCTGTCTCTGCAGCTGGAGATAAACATAAAAATAACCCAGTGCCACCCCTGATAGTCTCCCTAAAACCCAAAGGGCAGCTGAAGGGCTTTTCCTTCCCTTTACAAGAAGAGCCCATCAGCAAACCCTGGCTCTGGGGTACCCTGGTTTGTTCCTGGCTTTGGGTACCCTGGTCTGTTCCTGGCTCCCTCCCCGTGTTCTGGGGGTGCTGTCTCTCGCTGGGACCCCGTGGCAGTGGCTGTAATATTTTACTGTCAGGGACATTGTGGGGCTGGCTGGGTACAGTGCACTGTTAGGAGCTTTTCCCTGCTTTATGGGGGTAATTAGAACTTTATGACAGCAGCGAAATGGGAGGGTCTAGTCCCCATAAACGGGTTTATAATGGATATAAACTATGCACCTCTGTAACTGAGCGAGATTAACACTTTAGGGACAATTTGAGTGGCAGCCCAAAAATCAGAGGTGCCCTCGGTGCTGCCTGGACCTGAATTTTGGGAGGGTGAAGTTGTCCCACAGTGACCTGGCTGTCCGTAGTGTCAGCGGGTGAAGCATCACTGACTCCAGCATGTCCCCAAAAATTACACTTTGCTTTTCTCACCCCATTTTCACACCCTGGCCTGCATCCTGGAGGGTCAGGCAGAGCCAGAGCTGTATCCCCTCCACCACCAGATCACAGGTGAATTTTTGGGGTCTGTTTTGGGGTTTGGCATGGCTGGTGATGTGCAGGACATTGGTGAAGGTCTGGGCAGAAGCCTAGAGCTGGGGGAAGGGGCAGGCTGGAGGCTGGGATGTGCTGTGGCATGGTGGCAGCAGGGCTCTCACTGCATGGGAATGACAGTTAAAAGTACAATGAGGGTTTTGTTTTAACATATACAATTTATTAATATCAAACATGACTTAAAGCAAAGCAGAACCAAACTGCTTCCCTGCTGGTGCCTGCCAAAGGCAGGGCCTGGTGTGTTCTGAGGAAAGGCACAAGGCTGCGATGAGAGTGATAAAGAGACTGATCCTTGCCCCAAACTCCCCTCCACCATCCCAAAAGCCCCCAAAGCCAAGCCAGGAGGGTGAGTGTGGCACCCAGAGCAGTCAGGAGGTGCTGGGGTGTCTGTGGTGCACAGGGCCCCTGCCCTGGGGCTGTCACTGCTGTCCCCATCCGTGGCTGGAGCAGGGTTAAGGCTATGGAGCCAGACCCTGCTGGGGCAGGGGAGGGCAGTAAAACATTTCACAGCCTGTGCAGCTCAGGGCCCACACAATGGCCCGTCCCATAAACACACTTTTATGTTATGGCTGTAGCTCCAGTTAAAAATAAAGCCTTGAGGAGGGCAGGCTCCCGGGCCAGACCCGTTCCTGTGACCCCATCCCGGCTCCTCTCCTGAGGGAGCAGACTGAGGGGGAATAAATCCCTTTGCACAAGGGCTGCCTCCAGCTGTGGAGGCACAGCAGAGCAGCAGGAGAACCCTTGTGCTGGGCCCTGATGGCTGTCTGGGCCCAGCCCATAAAGCCTGGATGCCAGAGCTCTGGAGGAATCCTTCATTCCTGGTGCTCCCAGCTGTAACCCTGCCCCTGCATTCACCCCAGCCCTCTGGGGAGCTCCCAGGGCTGTGCTGCCAGGGCAGGGCTGCATCCCAGCCCTCAGTGATGGAGAGCCCTGGGAGCTGAGAGGAAAGGCACCCCCATCCCCAGGGAGCTCCCTGAGTCCCAGCAGTGACAGCAGCAGCAATGCCTTGTGGTGGCATTAATATCCCTGATGTGAATGATGTGATCTGCCCAAATGCAGCCCAGCCCTGGGGACACGTAAATAATAACATTCCTCCCATTGTGGGGATGGAGAATAATAATAATAATAATAACACCCTTCCCATTGTGGGGATGGGGAATATTAATGATAACACTCCCATTGTGGGGATGGGGAAATAAAAATAATAATAACAACACTCCTCCCATTGTGGGGATGGGGAAATAATAATAATAACACTCCTCTTGTTGTGGGGATGGGGACAGCCCAGTGAGGGTGGATGCTTCCCAAAATGAGCCCTGCAGGAGGATTCTGCCTGCCCTGCAAGTGGTTCTGAGCAGGTCCCTGGTGGGGCAGGACAGTGGCACTGCTGTCCCCAGCCCCAGAGCCCAGCCTGGCTCTCCTGGGGAGAGCTAATCCTCATCAGGACTCTTCATCAACACACAGAGCCTGCAGTGGTTTTATCTGGAGGCCCAAAATCTCAGTCCCCAGCCTATCTGGGGAACTCGGCACTGGTTATTGTTCCTCAAACAATCAAAGGCTCGTCCTTGGGGCTGCAAGGAAGAGCTTCAGAATCAGCATTTAACCACCCTTCTGTGTGTTTTAAAGCCAGCTTCACAGCTTTGGGTGGCTTGGCTGACGGGGTGCCACCCCCTCGGCTGGATAGGGCATGATTTTGCATTTAAAATGCACTTTTTGTTGTTTGGCTGAGCCCAGAGGAGCCTGAAGACAGCAGAAACTCTGATTTCCTTGGCGAGAGGAGCCGTCTGCCCTGGTCTATCTCAGATCACGGCCAGAAGAAAGGGCTTTGTTTTATCTCCCTGCCATTGTTCCACAGCGGGATGGATCCCGGCCCACAATGAATGAAGCACCCTCTGCAGGAACGGGAATGGGAACGGGAATGGGAATGGGAATGGGAATGGGAATGGGAATGGGAACGGGAATGGGAATGGGAATGGGAATGGGAATGGGAATGGGAATGGGAATGGGAATGGGAATGGGAATGGGAACGGGAATGGGAATGTGTGTGACAGTGCCCAGGTTGGGCAATGTTTAAATGTTTACCCTGGACATCCACTCGGGCCAATATCCACCTGCCAGAGGACATTCTTTTATTATCAGGGATAAAGGGGTTTGCTGGGAAATCATCAGGAGCCAGACATGGAGCAGATTCCTATCTGTGGCTCGTGTTTAACCAGCTGATGGGGGAAATTCGGGGGTGATTGCAGAGTGGCTGTGGTGTGGTTTGGGTGGAGGCTGTGTGTGGCTCTGGGCTTGGTTTTGGAGCTGGGGAGAGCTCCTGGGCTCCAGTTCTGGTTTCTTTGCTTTTCCTTGGTTCAGAGATGGATTTTAGAGTTGTCCTTAGAGCATCCTTCATGAGCCAGCCCCAGGCTGAACCTCCCTGGTGGGCACTCTGAGGAGGCACCATGGGATTTTCCTCCAGAACCATGGTTTGTCTGTCTGTCCATCCTCCACCATGTCCATCCCAGAGCAGTTCAGTGAATCTGGCTGGGAGCACAGGGCTGGGCTCCTCCTAACAAGTGGTTTTTCCTCCTAACAAATGGTTTTTCACCCTAGCTGTCAGGGCAGCCCTGTAAAAGACACTTTTGTTTGCCCTGGGTTTTCCTCAGTTAATTATTTGTGATCTGTGGATGCCTTTCCATGGCACATGGCTGATCATATGGCTATCAGTGTGGGGTGCTTCGGCCAAATTAAATACATTTATATGGGAGACCTGTGCTGGGGGCAGATTTCCCTGAGGGCAGGGGAGGGCTGGGGTCTGCTCTGTGGGCTGGGGGGTGTCTGCTCCCTCTGGCTCACTGCAGCCCCGTG